GCATAAGACTCATGCAATAGGTGCCGATATATAAGCTCCAGGTGTCATTAAGACACTAAGATGTTGTATTGAGGCTGTACAACACCACAAAGGAATTGTTTCATTGTAGGCTTCAGAGGTAGGTTGATGTTGCTCCTTCAGTTTTGCTTCTCCAAGGAATATGGTTGAGATGGAAACTAGGAGTAAAACATGGAAAATGGATGGTATAGAAAGTCTGAAATCAATCAATTCAAAGAAAGTCAGAGAAGTGGGCTGTGTTATGCATCAGGTCTGTTTCAGAGCATGCAGGCCCCCAGGTCAGCTTTCTAGTAATAGCTGAGGTGAAGGAGACTCAAACAGCAGGAGCCTAGGAATTCCCCAACTCATTAGGCTGAGTAGTGGTGTAAAGACCATGAAACACTCAGATACAGCCAGGACCCAAGGGACACCAGATTATTCCACCTAGGGCTTGGTTTATAAGGAAACAGTTAAAGCACAGGCTAGGCAGTTGTGGTGGTCATCTGTGAACTTCTCACTTTCCTAGCCTGAGACTGTAGGCGGGGCTGGTGGGATGAATGGAAAGATAGCGTCGTTCTTCCTTGAAACCACATAGTGCCTAACAAGTAATGATGTAAGTTTCTCATACAAATTTATTATAACCCCGTTTACCACCTTGCTCCTCTTTCTGTCACTGAGACCATTTCAATTTTTACTGTTGTCTTTACTATTTTTCTATATTCTGGGGTTCATTATTTAAGAGATCATTTAAAGTTTGTGGCTGTAGGTTTGTACACTTAGAAATATTCACAGAATAATTAAACTATAGCATCAAGGTGATCTAGTCAGTGGTATATAGGAAGGTAATTACAAAATTTAGATAATATATGTATATATATATATATATATATATTTCTCTTTATTGGTACATTTTAGGTATACAGTACAGTTATATCCATCATTGACATATTGTACCTTTACATGACAGGTCTTGGTTCTCATTTTTTCCTCATACCCCTGTCCTCCTTTCACCCCCTCTACCCTTCCCTATTGCACAGAGTTTGTTAACCTAAAGGCACTCGGTTCATGGGCATATTCGCTTAAGACTAATTCTACTATAATCTGTCTTAGATTCTATTTTACATTTCTTTAATTATTTTATTTGCTTTTGCTTAATCTTCTCTATTTCCTCGAAGTACAATGTAAAATGCACTATTTCAAGCAAAGCAAATGTTTAGAGAACAAAGACCATGCTCCTCTCAGAGGAAATACTTTTCTAACTATAGGTGATCACTTCTGATATTTCAACAAAAATTAGAAAACACAACAGATGCCTTTAAAAGGAGTTGACAAGGGATTTAAATTACAACTAGAAAATTATTTTCCATTGGTGGTTTAGTCTGATTTCTTCCTGTAATCCTTTTAGCTCAATATAGGCAAAAATATAAAAGATAAAATAGTAAAGTATACTACATTAAAAAAAAAACACAGTTCCCATGAGAAAAACTACTTTTATTAACATTTTCCACATAGTCTATAGGCAGCTTTTTTGAGAAATACTTAATACTGGCTTTGTAACTGTCCCTAAGTAGTCCTAGGTAATTTGAAGAGATAGGTTTTTATTCTCTTCACATCATGCAGTAAAACATTAAATTTAGATACATAAGATTTAATTATATATATATATATATATATCACTGTATCTGTACTCACCCAACAGCACTCAACAACTTTGTGCTTTTATCTAAGAGTAACTTAGGCATTGAAACTTTCCTTATCTCTCCCCACACCTTACCTCCCCAGGCTTTCTATTTTCAATTTCTCTGATATTAACTTCTTTAGATCCAGATGTGAACAAGATTGTGCAGTACTGGTCTTTCTGTATATATATATATCACTGTATCTGTACTCACCCAACAGCACTCAACAACTTTGTGCTTTTATCTAAGAGTAACTTAGGCATTGAAACTTTCCTTATCTCTCCCCACACCTTACCTCCCCAGGCTTTCTATTTTCAATTTCTCTGATATTAACTTCTTTAGATCCAGATGTGAACAAGATTGTGCAGTACTGGTCTTTCTGTCCCTGGGATACTTCACTTAATGGGTTCCAGTTCCATCCATGTTGTGAATTACAAAATCTCATTCTTTCTTATGGTATTCTATGGTGTATATGTAGCCCATTTCCTTTATCCATTCATCAGCTGATGATATTTATATTTCCATTTCTCAGCTATTGTGAATAATATTGCAATGACCACAGGAGTATAGATGTCTTCTTGACATACTGACTCAATTCCATATATACAGATTACTGGATCATTTGGTAATTCTATTTTTTTTTCCTTCGGTACCAGGAATTGAACTTGGGACCTTATGCTTGCGAAGCAGGGGGCAGAACGACTGAGATAAATCCCCAGCCTGGTATTTTTATTTTTAATATTTTTGAGTAGCTTCCATTCTCTTTTTTTCCCTCATTGAGTTTATTGGTACATTTTAGGTATACAGTAGAATTACATTCATTATTGGGGTCTTGTAAAGACATGACAGGTTTTGGTTTGTGGTGGGAGAAAGCTTTGTTGGTGTATATTTTTTTCATGCTGGAAAATATGCTGCTGTGGATGTTCTTCACAGAACAAAGACACATTCTTTCTGTGAATAGAGTTCAGAAATGTAGAGGCTGGATGATACCTGTACTAAATGTGGCAATTTTATGAATACTGAAAGTGATTTTTCTATATGGGTGGACATTATATTTTAAAATTATATGAACGAAGTAAATTTCTTGAGTCAGTAAAAAGATCCAATAAGAACTAGAACCCAGCTCTTACTTTGATTAGAACTTAAATAACTAAAGACAGTGATGACATTTTTGTCTTATGTAAATATGAAGGTTTAATTTCACTCTTAATCAAATCTTATTAAAGTAAACATCTAAAATGTGCAACTGTTTGTATTACTGAAACTCTCTAATATTAAATATGATTTTAACAAAGGTCATAAACTAGAGCCTAAAATGATTTATAGTCATTTACATTATAATATATTTTACTTGCTTTTCTCTTATTATATATACCCTTCTGATTTAATTTTAACCTTTCAGCTTTAATACAAGCATATCTTTCTCTATAGCTGTTCTATGGAAATAACAAAGGTTCAACATGACATTTTTATACTATGTTTCCACTACAAAGTAATCTTGCTCTTTTCGTAGCTATACTCTAAGATTAAATAAAAAATAATGTTTTGGATTATGCTTTTACAACTTACTTTCAGAAATCTCTTTTTGTCTATTTATCAGATTTTTTGCAGTTTCCACAAGATAATGTTTAAATTAGACCCAAAATTTTAATGAAAGCTTCATCCTTGTTAATTAAACATTTTAGAAACCGCATAAAATTTCAACTTTCTCATGGAAATTTATAATTCTTGATATATCCAAGGAAGATTTAAAAATTTTCCATATACTGCAGCTCATGTACAGTTGTATGTATAACAGCAAATAGTTTCCTATCTGTTTTCACTTTTACTTTGCTTTATTTTCTAATTGATTCTGTAATGAGGTGGTTTCAGTAGTTGATTACAGTATGATAAAATTAGATGCAGCTATGCACCTAGTCATATAGGCAGGTGAAGAGGCTGATCAAAAGCATCCAAAAATTGCTTGAGGCCAAAATCTTTCTTCCACTTGGTTATCTGCTTTGGAGAAATATATTTCTTTTATCCTCAAAGATTTTCCGTATTTAAATTCAATTACTTTTCTGCATTTCTCTCTTGCATGTAAATATGACAACTAGTTTAAATGATTATTATCAAGTGGCTTTCTCTGAACTTGAGAAAAATAAATACAATATGGAACAGGGAAAGAAAAATAAAAATCTTTGCCTCACTTCATATTTTGCCTACAGCTGGTTCTAATTAGAAAGTTCTCTAATCTAGACATAGAGACATCTACTAACTCTATTACTTCTATAGGAGAAATGTATAAATGTTTCCTGACTTTTTACTTGTAATTCAAGACATTCCCATCCAATGCTAGATTTAAACGTTGAGTGTAGAGCAGATGAAAGTACATAAAAAATATCATATTGTATGTTTTATTTTCTTTTGTGTGTCTTCTGTTGTTTAAAAGGGTAGAAGCAGGGGCTGAGGATTTAGCTCAGTGGTTCGGTTGCCTGCCTCCCAAGCACAAGTTTGATCCTCAGTACAAAAAAAAAAAAAGTGTAGAAGTGGAATGACTCTGATTTGTTTTATTACTACCCTTATTTGCAAAATGGATCATGTTAGGGTTTTGTGTCAGCCTCGGTGATATGAGTCATGGGTCTTGGTCTCTTATTGGTGGTTGGCATGGAGTAGCCACTGTCCTACTTATCCTGAAGTGGATACTTCAGTAAACTCTAAAGATAATACTGTATTTTTTACTCAGTATCTACTAACTTCTTAATTTTTGTGATCCAGCACAGTAAAGATAAATAATAATACAGAGAACACAAGGTTCTTTTCAATCTTTTTATATGAATTGTCTAAACATATATCTCTCTAGACATGTATACACTTGTAGTAAATGTCCACCTTTGTAAAACATAGAAATTCTTTGTTTACACAGTGTTTTCTTCTCAATTTGATAAATATTTTGAAGTTTAGCTATGCAAAAGATATTGTGCTGTGTAGGCCCGGGGATTTAGCTCAGTGGTTTTGCTTTCTGCCTCGCAAGTGCAAGGACCCAGTTTGATCATGGGTACAAAAAAAAAAAAAAAAAAA